ACATTAAAGTGATTATTACGTTTTGAATATGGATATTTTTCTAACAAAAACGCATCGATTTGCTACAGGAGGCCTTTGTTCACCCCTCGAAGCCGTGTGAGACACTTTTTTTATGGATGGGCGTAGTGCTGGGCGGTATGACCAAAAATTTATATCACAGTATTTTTCAAAATTATACCGGTTCCACGGTACATGACGGTATTTTTTTTTCGTGGCTTTTTATTTAACTTCTTTTGGACTGATGCATGCATCACCCGCTGAGTGGCATTAAACAGCTTGAAAGATCAAAGACCATTTTTTATATAACTCCGACTGGATTCGGCTGTAAAAAGAAAGTCATATACACCTAGGATGGCGTGAGGGTGAGTAATTTATGGGCTAATTTTCATTTTTGGGTGAGCTAACCCTTTAATGTATACTCTTCTGTGCAAATGTATAATATAGTTATGAACATCAATTATTAAATGATTTTATGTAGTATTTCCATGAGAAAGTAATATAAAAACATCAAATGTATATGTGGTTAGCATGCACAACGAAAAACTATTTTTGTTCTAAGGTCCAATAGTTGTTACCTAAATATATGCAAATACCTAAATAATTCACAGAAGACTGCCTCCAGTGACAACTTAATCAAACTGTGGTAAATAAAACTAAAATTTAGTATGCTTATAGTCCTACAAATACCACTGAAAGTGATCACACAACCTCTTACAACAAGTAACAACAACATGTACAGTATCACTCACTACACTCCTATAACATATGATATTACAAATGACATTACCATGCATTGTTTCTCCGCCATGATCTGGAAGAGGGAGTCGTGCCACTCTAAGATGTGCATCTCCAGCAGTCGGTTTGATGGAAATGAGCGCTTGCAGTTGGAACACACATTTCGATGTAATGAATTGTAGTGGTGTTCATACCCTTCCAACGTGTCAAATAACTGCCTGCATCCCGCAATGTGACATCTGAACTCAGAGATACTGAGAAGAGGGTTGAGAAATTAGTGGCACATTAGTATCAAGTCAAGAGGATGTCGCTCAAAATGTTTCACCACTCATCCAAGTGAGGTCATCAGTAATCTTATGATCTAGATTGCCCAGCACTGGACCTCATCAGAATCAGATACTGTGACATTACTCAATAATAATACTACAATCTACACTACTGATACTTATAGTAATCTATCAAATTGCATAAAGACAGCTACAAAAAAATAAACATCCATTTGACCATAATAAATAGCCTATGCAAGAACATTTTATAACGACCTGGACTGATATTCTTCATAGACATGCTAATTATTTAGTATTAAAAGTTTTATCAAATAAGATGAATACTAATTATCTCAATTGGACCTACCAATTAATTTTATGCTTATGAGTAATTTGTTAATTCATAATTTGCCTAATTACAAAGCAATATTAATAGTGAAACGACATTACTCACGTCGGAGGATGTTCATCATCTGCAATAGCCGTCACGACCTCCTGTAGGTACATGTGCCTGTGTATGTCCCATCCTGTTGAATTACACATGGAGGAATCGGGATATTGGTAAATATCCCATCATCATATCACAGTCACGTAATTTCTTCGTCACTCTTAAATAACCCATTGAGAGATAAACATGCAATTGTTGTTATATATTAGCAGAAGGAAGGCACTTTTCTGAAATGCAATAACCTTTTCTATCGATCCAGTCGAAGAATCTACATACCTCAAAACATTCATCTTCTACAGCAAATCGAAGTAGTTGAGGTCTGAATCCAAAAGGTGAACAAGTATTTTCACCTTCTGTGTCTTTTTGTTGTAAACAATGCCACTCGGATCCCCTATTTTCAATTACCGGTATCTTTTCTGCAGGAATGTGTGGTGCTGTAGAACCCAATAGCTGAATTAATTCAGGCTGCAGCATTATGTTCAGGCTGTAGCATTATCAACATGCTCCATGTATAAACCGATTTGCGATTCCGTGTCAAAATAAAAACTCTCAAATTTAAAGCCAGTTGAGGGCACGCAGGGCGCACGATTGCATGAGAAACGTGTCATTTTATTTTGATGCAAAACAAAGTATAATCTAATGAAAAAGATGTTTGTTTTATAGCCCTTCATATACGTCTGAAACCCCAATAGCTGAATTAATTCAGGCTGCAGCATTATGTTCAGGCTGTAGCATTATCAACATGCTCCATGTATAAACCGGTTTGCGATTCCGTGTCAAAATAAAAACTCTCAAATTTAAAGGGCAGTTGAGGGCACGCAGGGCGCACGATTGCATGAGAAACGTGTCATTTTATTTTGATGCAAAACAAAGTATAATCTAATGAAAAAGATGTTTGTTTTATAGCCCTTCATATACGTCTGAAAGCCAGTGCCTACACTACCTTTAAATAAGCAGGGGGGAAAAAGAAACTAAAAGCAAAACTGTCAAAACTGCACCTGCAGAATATAACCACAGGATGTCAGCAGAGTCATTCCAGTTATGCTTTTCATCCATCCATCTTGTCAAATATTCAGGGCCGGATTTACCTCTTTTCGTGACATAGGCAAAACAAAACATTTTGGCCCCCCTTCCCTAATATAATATACCTACTTACCACCAAAGCAAACAAAAATATTTCTTAATCAGTGGAAACCGTTACAGTGTTTTCTATCGCAATAAGTGCTTGCGTTCAATCAAATCGAATGCAGTTCTTAATTTGTTTGAGAACTTAAGCCTTGTTCAGACTGTCAGCCCAAATCCGATTTTGTGCAAATTCCAAAATGTCATTTTAGAGCTAATAATAGAGGCTTGAGCCATTGATATGCAAGGTAACACAATTATTAATGCAGTCTAACGCAGTTAGAGAGAGCGAGAGATTAATAAGTGTGAAAACTTGCGTCTCTCAGCAGTATTCAGCAGCAGCATCTACTAATAGCGAATCTTTAAGTTGAGCTGCTTCAAGAACCTCGCTACTGAGAAATGTCATGTAGCTTTTCAGCTGCGAAACTATTTTATTGATCAATTCGCGGTGCAGCCGCAGGCAGCGCTGATGAAGTTTCAGTCCGCGTCTCCGCGTGTGTGCGAGACCGCCTGTGCGTGTCTGCACTGTGTGTGTCTGTGAGAGAGAACTGGAGAAAGAAAGCTGATTTCCGTACATAAAAAAAGTTGAAGACATGGAAATAGTTTGCCATTTTTACCCTATTTGTTATATTTATTTGCTCAATGTCTTCTGGGGTTTTGGTTCTTTTACTGTTGTATATATCCCATAGTAGCCTATAACAAAAATATTAGCCTATATATCTCCTCATTGTGTTTGGGCCCCTCTGGACGAGCAAGCATAGACACGAGCCTAGAATGCCTGTGCGTAAATCCGGCCCTGCACATATTAATATTAATATCTTAATATATTGGCTAAAGTATTACTGACAACAAACGAACAATTTGAAATTATATTAGTTCTCTTACGCGATAATCGCAATCAAGTGAACAAGTGGTTAATTTTTTATTGTTTCATTGTTACTGTTTCATGTCCTTGGCAATATATTCATAATTATTAATAACTAATATTCCAAGTGTTTCTTTTAGTTTCCATTTTTCTAATCAAAATATTAAAATAAGCCTACATTTTATTTGGAATGTTGTTTTAAATGGTAATCATTTTATGTTTTTCCTGTGTCCTCAATTTCACTTTATGTCCCAACTGATTTTTTGTTTTGTTTTTTTGTAATAACGAACAAAACCTAGTTCCTCAATGACATCATCCTCCAGGAGATTACATCATTTTTATTTGGAAAGTGGCACAAAAATAGGGGTAAGATATGCACCACATATTTTAGTCATTTTCGTTATTCATTCAAACTTATTGGCAAATCATTCGATTTGAATTCACAGTGTTGCTATTATAACATATCCTCAATTAAAATGTGAGCAATTCAATATTTACATATTCATATGTAAGTCATAGAATAAATTGAGCTTTCAGATGATCTCTTTTACTGGGATTGTGCCTTGTCTGTTATTGGTTATTCAATTATTCTACTAAATTGTCAAAACACAATTTTAAATAGAATAGATAATTTAGTATTTTCATATTAATGTTACTTTAAAAAAATTATCTATCATATCTATAAAATAAAATTAAATGATATCAAAAGTCATTTATACATTCTGCAAAGGTTTAGCCTATAGGGCTTCTTACCCTGGTTGTAGGCCTCTATGAATAATTGTACATTTAGTTCTAGGACACTCTTATGATTTCCCTTAATACCACATGGCTGCATCATCATTCTGTACATGCTAAACTTTCTATATATGCTAGTTTAAAAGTAAATGCACATTCTACTTAGGTGTGTATCTTTCCCCATCTTACCCTAATATCAGTGGATTCTGTAAGGTTTTGAGGTATTAATTTGAACAGAAATACATACACAAGCATATTCACTCCAGTTACAGAGTTGAAAAGATACTAAAGCTACAAAATCTAAAGTACATTCCTTTCAGATAGGCTGTGTGGTAGCCTACATATATAGCCTAGAAATAGTCAAAAAAATAAATAAAAAAAGTTTATTTAATTGTTGTGTCTCGAAAAATTACTGACACATTTACTGGGCTGTGACTCATTAGTGACCGGTTTGCTGTTACCGGATGAGGAGGTCGTCGTCTGTTTATGCTAATTTACCGGATAACCGAGGCGGAGCTTTAACATTCAAGTAGCCGAGTTCCCACAGCAGCCCATGAGTCCCGGAGCGAGTCCCCAGGACACAGAACCATGCGATACACTGGATTATTTATATCGCTGCTTTCCTTTGTTTATACATGGGGTGAGCGCGCAGAATTATGAGAATCCTTTTACAGCGCGTGATGTGTTTTTAATCTACTGATTACACATACTGATTTGTTTATTCACTGTTGCTTTAGAGAATCTTGAGGCAGCGAACCCAGCTTTGCCTCATGTGATGCGCTATGATGTGATCCGACTCCGACCTCAGGCACTGAAAGAGCGAGCGAGGAGGAGCGCCCCTTCTCTCAAGGTCCGCTCATTTTCAGATTCGTTTTGTAAATTGAAATATTATTGACATCTCTTGGGATGCTTGATTTGACTTTTATTCATGCGTGCTTGCTTTCACCCGTTTAGACATATCCTGAACAACTTGAATGTGATTTGGCTGTAGATGGGAGGAACTTCACACTTTCTTTGCACAAAAATAGGTGAGAATGTGACTATATAGAAATGTATATAATGCCTTGTATTCATAACCAACCCAGTGAATTTTTTTATTCAACAGGGAGCTTTTAGGAAAACATTACACCCTCTCACATTATACCGAAGATGGGATTTCAGAGACAGAGTCTTCAGACAACATTGTATGTTTAAACAGTAAAATAGCTTATTTCTTTTTGACACAGTATGTGAATGTTGCTGCTTAACTGTACATAATCTGTTTTTGACTTCAGGATCACTGCTACTATCAGGGACATGTCCATGATTTTGAAGACTCTTCAGTCAGTGTTGGACTTTGCTCTGGAATGGAGTAAGAACATTTTCTATTTAAACCTTTTTTATGTAAACTTTAGACATGATTGAACGTTAAATGAATTAAAATATATATATTAAAATAAATTATATATAACCTGAGTCTGATTTGTGTACAGTAAAAAATATACGTATTTCAGAGTTTCATTTTTTGGATTGTGCCTGTAATAAGTTGCTTTAGATAGTGTCTAGTGTTTACTGACCCACAAATATTTTCTACACTTCTCCCTCCTTTTAAAATATTGTATCTTCTTCATCCTTTAGAGGGTTTCTGAGGGTCAAAAATCAAGTTTATTTGATTGAGCCCCTAGAAGAGTCTTTGGATGGCGACCATGCTATTTATAAGCAAGAGCATTTAAGGACCAAGCAAGGGGCCTTTGGATACATTAATGACACAGTCTATAACCTTGGTCCAAAGTCTAGTGGGCTGTATAAAGGCAAAAATATGGTAATGATATTCTAATGATTCAATTAAATTCATGTTATTTGTATAGCGCTTTATACATATTGTTTCAAAGCAGCTTTATATGAGATGCATTGCAATGAACAGTAGTTTGTTATCAGAGGTGACTATGTCAAAGTAATGTCCATATGGCAGAATCATGCAGTTAATTAATGACATTTATTCAAGCAAGTAACAATCTCTTGTTGAATGTAAGCTTATTATATGAGAAATATATTTAGCGTCATATATTTAGTGTTGTTTCCGACATAGAAAATAAAACCTGTACTTGCTCCTTATTTCATTATTAAGCAACATGTTTAATTTGTACCTCAACAACTTATTTATGATGTGTTTACCATGAACAGTTTTATGACAATAGCTTTATTTCAATTGATCTTCAGAAAAACAAAGCCCCCAGAGGAGGACAGCGGATTGTTGAGATGGTTTTGGTCGTTGATCATACAGAGGTATGAATTTGGTTAATGGAAAAAATATCTTATACTGATGTGTTGTGTTTATATTGTTAAAATATATCTACACATTTTTCTTCAGTACAACACGTTTGGAAGTTTTAAAAAGATTGAAGAAAGAATGATGTTGGTCGCAAATCACGTAGACAAGGTATCATACAACTTTCATTATTCATACAACTGGTCTTAAATTAATTAACAGATTATACCTGGTTACAATATGATTTTCAAAATAATATTTATAGAAATTATTTTGCTCATGTTCAGCTTTACCGGCCATTAAACATACGTGTCAGGTTGGTTGGACTTGAGATTTGGTCTCAAAGAGACTTGATTGATGTCAGCCATATACCAAATCTTACTCTGGAACGGTTTTTACAATGGCGTCAGGATAGCCTGCTCAAGAGGAAGAAACATGACAATGCCCATTTTATTACGTGAGTCACTGACTGCTCATCTTAATCAGTTTCTGTGCTTTGAATGCCACATTTTTACTCACACTAAACACTTCCCTTTAAAATGTGTCTTACCGCAAGCTTTAAAACGTTTATTTTAATTTTTTTAAATAGTATGGAACAACAAAAATATCATTTAATGCCTTAAGTTCTCTCTTTTGTTTTTAATCAGTGCTGTAGATTTTAAAGGATCTACAGTTGGGTTGGCTACAGTGTATGCTATGTGCTCTCCATCCTCTGGTGCTGTGAATGAGGTATAATTATGAGCATATGTTTATATATGTAAATTAACAGATTAAGAAATGGTACAGTACTTTCCTAGTGTTTGAAAGAAAGCTTTGGTTGTGGTGAATAATATTAATGACATAAGATGTATTTTTCTTTACAAAGGACCATAATAAAAATCCCATTGCAGTGGCTTCTACCATTGCCCATGAAATGGGGCATAATCTGGGCATGTCACATGATGATCCAAACTGTGGATGCTCCTCTGGCAAGGGCTGCATTATGTCCGACACCATTGGGTGAGGCTAATTGAAAATACTTTTGATTAGAATGCATTTATGCAATGGCACAAGAGATAGGCAACTATGACATTTTTTCTGCGGTTTAATGTTTCCACAGACCATAATTTTCTTTCATACTTTTCCAACAGGTATGTTTACCCTGATTCCTTCAGTACTTGCAGTCAATCATCCTTAAAAGCATTTTTGCAGAGCTATGACACCAGCTGTTTACTAGACATGCCAAATGAGGGTGAACTATATGGAGGCCCAGTTTGTGGAAACGCTTTTGTTGAAAAAGGCGAGGAGTGTGACTGCGGAACTGCTGAGGTGTAACATGTTTTATAAAATTGACACAGCTTTGGTTTGCCAGTTAAAATATGACTAAAATAGATTTGTGTATTTGACAATTTATCCACTACCGTTAAAAGGTTTGGGGTCAGTAACAATACAGTAAAAACAGTAATATTCTGAAATATTATTTTGATTTGTTGTAAAATATTTCAATTTAAACTACCATCATTACAATTTAAAATAACTGTTTTCTGTAATGTAATGTAAAATGTAATGTAAAAATCTATTCATGTGATGGCCAAGCTGAATTTTCAGCAGTCATTACTCCAGTCTTCAGTGTTACATTATCCTTGAGAAATCATTCTAATATACTGATTTGGTGCTCAAGAAACATTTCTTATTATTATCAATCTTGAAAATAGTTTTGCTGCTTTTTTTTTTTTTTTTGGAAAACATGATAGTTTTTTCAGTATTCTTTGATGAATAGAAAGTTCAAAAGAACAGCGTTATGTCTTTATTGTTTCTTCACTTTTGATAAATTTAACGTGTCCTTGCTGAATGAAACTATCAATTTCTTAAAAAAATCTTACTGATCCCAATTATAGTTTTTCAAAAACAAAACATTAGTCGCAAGCCAGAATACTGACCCCAAACTTTTGAACGGTGGTGTATTCTGGAAAAACATTCTTCTTTTTTTTTGACCGCAATAATTTTTGAATTTTAGGAATGTAACAATCCCTGCTGCAATGCCACAACCTGTCAACTTACCGTAGGTGCCCATTGTGCACATGGAGAGTGCTGCCACAATTGCCAGGTATCCGCAAAGCTACCCACCAAGCTCAACAGGAAGACCATATTAAAGTTGTTATTGGACTGAAAATACATGTAAAAGTAGATTATTGCCTCAATCTGTTTTGTTAATCCTCCCTTGTAGCTGAAACATTCAGGTAGCCTGTGCAGAAAGAGTGCTCACGACTGTGATTTGGACGAGTACTGTACAGGAGTGTCAGCCTTCTGTCCCGAAGATGAATATAAGATGAATGGACTCCCTTGTGATTATAATCAGGGCTACTGTTACAATGGACAATGTCCAACACATAAGGAACACTGTAAGATGCTGTGGGGATCAGGTACTATTCTCACTGAGCCATTGCTCAAACACTGCTTTTTGGCTGCTCTCTTATGTTTTTACAATTTAACAAAAAAGCCTTACGGCTTTTTTGTTGTTGTTAAATTAATGTTTGTTTGTTTTTTTTTAAATAAAGTTTCATTTATGAATATTTAAAAATCAATCTGGTACATGTTTAGATGCTGAAGTGGATGCTGACACTTGCTTTCGATATAATGTAATTGACAGCACCTCCAAGAGTGCTGAGTAAGTGTAACTTAACTTTTCTTTGATGGCTAAAGACTAAAAATAGTATTTTGTACATTGTTTTCTATCAACACAATGGTATTCTGAATCCTACAGGCACATGATGTGTGGGAAAATATACTGTTATGGTGGGAATGCTTTCCCCATAACCATGAGTACTGTACAGGAGTGTCAGCCTTCTGTCCCGAAGATGAATATAAGATGAATGGACTCCCTTGTGATTATAAACAGGGCTACTGTTACAATGGACAATGTCCAACACATAAGGAACACTGTAAGATGCTGTGGGGATCAGGTACTATTCTCACTGAGCCATTGCTCAAACACTGCTTTTTGGCTGCTCTCTTATGTTTTTACAATTTAACAAAAAAGTCTTGCAGCTTTTTTGTTGTTGTTAAATTAATGTTTGTTTGTTTGTTTGTTTTTTTAAAATAAAGTTTCATTTATGAATATTTAAAAATCAATCTGGTACATGTTTAGATGCTGAAGTGGATGCTGACACTTGCTTTCGATATAATGTAATTGACAGAACCTCCAAGAGTGCTGAGTAAGTGTAACTTAACTTTTCTTTGATGGCTAAAGACTAAAAATAGTATTTTGTACATTGTTTTCTATCAACACAATGGTATTCTGAATCCTACAGGCACATGATGTGTGGGAAAATATACTGTTATGGTGGGAATGCTTTCCCCATAACCAACAGAAAATCATCAGTAACTATTCAATCGAGAACCTGCTATATGGCTGTGGATTCCTCACCCACAGATGACTTAGGGATGGTTCCAGCAGGCACCAAATGTGGCATTAATAAGGCAAGTATATAATGAATGTATATTGCCTTGCACAAAATACAAAGTGTATAAAACCTTTATTTAGTTTATATATATATATATATATATATTATATTTTATATATATTATTTTTTTTTTCATTCAACAGGTGTGTTACAACAACCTTTGCCAAGACGTTAGTATATACGGCTCTGAGAACTGCTCTAATAAATGCAACAGTCGTGGGGTGTGTGATTTATTTATTTTTTTTCCATTTTCCCATTTCTTTTATAACTTATTTTGTTTCTCTTTTTTTTAAAGAAAAGCATTATTGCATGGAGTGTTTGTCATTCTGTGATATTGTAAAAGTCATTCCATTTTTCCATTTAGTCATTCAAATCCATTTTGAATGGATTTAGTTTAAACACATGTAAACATATTTCTGATTTATATTTTAAAGGTGTGTAACCATGAGAGGAAGTGTCACTGTGATCCAGGATGGGCACCACCCTATTGTGGTGTTCAATTCTCAGAACTTCAAAAAAGTAAACCAACATCCTTACCATATCTGTACTACTTAATGAAATTCAATCATTGACCGTACAAAACTAATTCTGTACCATGTCATATGTGTACCTTTACAGTGAGAAAAGAATCTGTGATAATTGGAGTGACTGTATCTGTAGTTGTTCTTGGATTGATCATTATTATTGGAGCACTGGTCTGTCACAGGAACAAAATAACAGAATTTAGAAAGAAAAGGTAGGATCTGTTATGCAACTGACAATCATGAACTATCAATTTCTGTTATCATTTAAATTATTGTACTAATAATGAAGGACATTCTGTTCTAAAAGGTCTTTGAAGGACATCCACACTTCCTCAGGTCAGTGTAATCCAGCATTCCAACCAGGAAGTGCAAAGAACAGCCCCAGATGCACACAACCACGCATAAGTCAACCAACTTTCCTCGAGTCATCCACTGCTCTGGCCTGCAAACCTCTCTATTCTCCAGCTATGCCCTCTAGACAAGCACCATTGGTAAAGTCATTCATTTAGCCTTGAAAGCCCTGTTTAATTTGTGCTTACAAAAAGTCAATTTTAGGATGAAAGACATAATCTTTCTACCACTTATTTCTCACTATGCACAGCCTCCAAAGAATGTACCACAAACTAGGACAGAACAGGTAGTTTATCTTCTCTAAAAATGCATGTAATTATTTACAAATATTCCTGGCTAAAACTGTTTTAATAAAAATGAAAATGTACGTCCCTATTTTATTAGATTGTGAAACCTTCCATCCCACCTCCTGGTATTTCCAGAAACATTCATCCTGTTCAGGTGAGGCCCGGAATGTCTTAATATTACCTACCATGAAGTTGTTTTAAATTGTAATAATATTTCACAATTTTACTGCTTTTGCTGTATTTTTATCAAATAAATGAGTATAAGAGACTGCAAAATGTACCCACCCCAAACTTTTTAACAATAGTGTACATACTGTATAATTAAGTATAACTTTCATAATATTAATATTGGTTACTTTTAATGACTCTTAAGCTCATTACAGATGTGACATAAACGTCCTTACTTTAGTGATTTGCTTATGTTAGCATTTTGCCTTATTTATAATTTTCCTAAACCTTTTTGTTGTTTGTTTTGTGATACTTGTGGTTTTTGCACTCAGACGAAGGCTTTTTTTTTGCCCACCTAATATTTAAAATCCAAACGTGCAATGATCTCAGCTGGTCTGATTTTACTCTTTAAATATGAGAGTTTTTATTTAATGTTCCTCTAACAACCATACTAGTACCTGTACCTCTGAGATAGAACGGGATTTGGTCACGCTGCCACGCAGACCCTTGTTTAAAATGATGGACGGGCTCAAACAATTAGACGAAGAAGCTTTGCAAGACCTCTATGCGTGGATAGACAAGATACCGTTCTCCAGACGGTATCTTAAGAGGTTTTGGTGATGGAGGTATTTAATTCCTTCAAGAAACAAATAAAACCGCTAACTTAACTATGTATGATGTTTGTTGACATTTTAAGAAGTGTTGCCCTGCATTTGACTAGATTAAAGTAATATAATATTATTATACGTACAGTTCTTATTACACTTACAAAAATGTGTTTTAGCTATATAGCATTTTACTCAGTTCAGTATTGTCAGTGAGTATTTGAACGATTTCCATAAGCAGTTTTGACTGCAGAGGTAGTAGTGAAGCATTTCTTCCCTAAGCTGGTGGAGCTGCACAACTACACGCCCGCGCATTCCAGGCAACAGAAGCTGAGTAACTGGAGTACCCTGAGCAGCAGGCAAGTATATTTATTTGTTCTCCATGCAGACAGTAATGCAAACACCGCATTGCTTATCTGACCCCCGAGTGTCGCTTGACACATTCCCTGGAGGATTGCAGGAATGTGACATTACACCTCAGCAACAACACTGGGATCTCCTGTTGACCTGTTAACACTGGCTGGGTCTAAAAGTGAGCTGCCTACCTAGACAGCATATTTGGGCATCATATGTAGAGCAATGGGGGAAATAGACAACAGTTTTCCTATCAAGTGTGGAGTGCTTTTTATAATGGATGGATGCACTTTATTGAACTTCAAAATCTCAAAACCCATTCACTGCCATTATAAAGCTGGGAAGAGCCAGGACATTTTAATATAACTCTGATTCCTATCTCTTATGTTTGTCTAGAATTGGACAGCACACAACTGCTCCATGTTCTCATTTCAGAAAAGTTTTCTCTAAGCTGAACTTCCATATACCTGAGAAGATGGTGAAGAAAATTGTAGTCAGCACAGCGGGCTGCATCCAGTCCTTTGCTCTCTTAGAGAGAAGATAGAGGGAAAACGAGCAGGAAAACAATTAGATGGCACACAGGTGGGTCTGTGTGTGTATTTGCAATTGCATTGCTACAGCATCTTTCTTTCAATATCACTTCCTCTTTCTTTATAATGGTTGAATGAACAGTAATCTAACCCTGCCTTATTCTTTTTTATAGGACTTTACAGCACTACAAATGGACAACCAAGATCAGGTAAATACTGTAAAACATAGAAATGTGGATTTAGCTTACCATTGTTTATAAGCTACAGTAGGGAAGTGAAGGTCATCTTGAGGAGGTACGACAATGAGCCCATGACCCAGCAGTAGTGGGTGGGGAGGGCCTGTCGAAAGACCTCCTGGGCTGTGGTCTGGTTTAGTAGCAGACTCTGGATTCGAGTCTAGGTTCATTAAAGGGATAGTTCACCCAAAAATGAAAATTACCCCATGATTTACTCACCCTCAAGCCATCCTAGGTGTATATGACTTTCTTCTTTCAGACAAATACAATTGTATTTATATAAAAAAAATGTTGAGAGGGTGGCGTTCCAGTGGATGACATAGGACGTAGGCGTAAGCTCCTGTGAGAAGTGAAGAACATGGAAGCGCAGTGGAGAGAGCAAAACAAAACACCGGTCATGTATTAGAAGTACAAAACGAGAATTTGTAAAGAAAAATGTTGGAGAATTTCAATATAACCCAAGAGGAGACTGGTTTTCCTTTGCTGTGAACAAAACTTGGCTCTCGTGAGGCTAGCATATTCTCATATGCTATGCTATGCTTCGCCTGTCTCCTTTAGAATCGTGAGGATGCTGGAGCCTATTGTGACAAACAAAAGACATGAAGACCAAACACAAAAATCTACATCATTGCTGGTACAATAATACATACAATACAATCGACACATCATCTATACGCAGGAAGGAAATGGATGGATGATCTAATTTTTGCACTGCTTTTTTTACATACTCAAAATGACTCACAGTGCTAACCTCAATAACCACCCACATAAATGAAGTAGCAGAAGTCAGTGGCCAGGTAGCAGAAGTCCCACACCATATCTACTGTTTTCTGTCAAGGGAGAATATACAGTATAAACTAGATTTGTGCTGGCTGTTTCCTCATATGAGCTGTGATGATTCTTGTTAATGCTAGTGAGAATGGTAATATAATTAAACTGCTTAATTAGCTCATCAGTTGTATACTTGGAAATATTGAATATTTGGAAATGTGACATCATTAGATTTTTTAGGAAGCTTAGCATTCATGAGGTCTGTGGTCATACAGTAGTCTGGTTGTCACTCAGACTAACACAGCCCTGGCCTCAATAACTGTAAACCAAACTAGCAAGTTTAGCAAGTGAAGTGTGGCAAGGAACAATGATGCCCTTTTATGTACAAAGAGGAGCAGTTTCCTTTGTGGTTTTGTGATGATTTGTCTGTGAGGTTTTGTGTCAGACCCTCTGGTTAGTTCATGCAAAAGCAACATTTCTGTCATCATTTACTCACTTTAATGCTGTATGATTTAATTTATTCTCTGGAACACAAAAGAAGATATTTTGAAGAATGTTTCAACTGCTTTTGCCCATACAATGAACAAAACCTCACTGGACCGCACTAAATTTCATTGTATGGACAAATAAACAAGGCTTCTTCCAAAAGCTAAGGCAGCTGACTTTTTACCTTGATGCCTTATCAGGCTATGACTTTGCAGGCAATGTTAGCGCATAAAGGTACCTCCTGAAACAGACCTCTGAGGCAGCATAAAGGTTTAATAATCTGCAGCCAAATAAGCTTTGGTGATAACTAAGCAGATATTTAATTACTACAATACTAACTTCAGTCAAACAAGCAAATGATTAATGTACATTTACCACCAACCACCATTTTGTGTGCTCCAGTTACAATTTTAGCTTGATAAACAGTTATGGAAACTGTTTTTCTCTATGTATAATAAAATGGACTAACAAAACAGCTGTGTTTGGAAATAGGGCAAATTAACTGCATTGTCAGCACTCTTAACATTACATAGAAGGGGGCCAGATAGGTCAACTCTCCATTACCCACACCTCATCATCATGGCATCTTAGTCGTGACATCATCTGGTTTCAGGTCCAACTCCCTCTTTTCATGCTAGAAAAGGTCCTGCGTCCATCAGCTCCATTCACCAGATAGCCCTTATCATTTCCAACAGGCTCAACACATTTGGCTAAAAGCCCTTTCGACCATAGAAAACTCAAGCAAACAGTAGATTATTGAGTCTATTATGAGACCAGAGAGGCTAGATGGTTTCTGATATATCATATTATCGAAGTGCAAACCATTTCTATTGAGGAAACAGGAATCCTGTGCTTTTTACTTTTCTTTTTCCTGTAAATGCTCTGCAATTTTAACTTGTTATTTTATGTTTTAATGGGATGTTTATAAGGTGAAGCACAGCTGGTGTTGATGATTCAGAGCTCAGAGCCAAATAAAACTCCCGCTACTACAGTCTGGTGCCCTGTCAATGTGTCTTTTTGACCTTATTGTGTTTAATGGGTTCAAATGGCGTCTAATTAGTTTACCCTTCCTGGCTAAGCAATTCTCATGAGCTTAAACATCTTAAAGTATGGGGGAGTTCCACTCAGCTAGAGGAAATTGATTCAGGGTATCGTGAGGGTAAAGTCTCAGTGCCTGAATTTAGCCTGGAGAGATCCTGAATGCACTGTCAATGCCAAGACCCGGCAGTTGAGTTTTAGGCTGTCGCCTAAGACACATTTGTACATTAGCATGTTTGCCTGTCTGCTAAAGCCCTTTGTTTAAAAATGATTAAAAGAAAATGTTTATTAAAAAAATATATCTTATTCCCTTTCTCTGTTTGCCCAAATCATCTGATGGTTATTGAGGCCACTCGTACCAATCCTGCCACTGTGAAGAAGACAGGCAATGTCAGGTACTGAGTGATGAACTGTGATGTGAAAATAACTTTCTGAGGTTCATGAAGTCTTTCATGTAGGCCTATGAAAAAAATCTACATTTATAATGGACTTGTGTGTTGGAAATCTTGTATAGTCCTGCTGCAGCCTTGGAAACAAATGTGGATCCAGCCGTCCGTTTGCTCTTGGAGGAAAAGGAGCAAGCCATTTTGGCTTTACAGGAGACTGTTGAGGTAAGGTTTTGATGCTAAAATACTTTTTCCTTTTCCAGTTTAATATGCAGAGACTAGTTTATTGGTTGAGTTCCCAGAAAAGTGTAAGCACTGTTGCTATCTGGTGTTTTCAGCATTGCAATGCAAACAGTATTCAGTCATTATTTTTACAGTTTCGAAACACTGCACCTTTAAAGCCGGCATGAAATTAAATCTTCTGTTTTCTAAATGCATGTTATTAATCTTATTGTGAACAATTTATCAATGCATGGTATTATTTAATAATAAAACTATAATTTTGTAGTAAAACAAAATATCAACACTCAATCTTTTTGTGAAACGACAGACTTCTCTCTTGTGATGTACACTCTTAAAAATAAAGGTGCTTCACGATGCC